CAGCTTCAATAGCCCCCCTCCCCCGCCCACATCTCCATGGCAAGTTACAGAATCCCACTCTTTACTAATAAATGCCCTTGATTTAACTGCCAAAAGAGGCTGGGGCTTGAATTTTCCCTGCAATTCAGCCAATCTTACAATGAAGGCTTTCATTTGATTTTCTGCAGCTTGAGCTCTACGGCCTCTGGAGAGAAGATTCTCTTCCAGGGCACACTTAGAACCTGTAGGCTGTTATTGCACAGCTGGCACTGGGCAGCTGTGCAATAACACACTGAGTTCATCGTTGTCCTGCATCATATTCTGAGATGGCAGAAGTTAGTTAATTTTATCATCAGCTCAGTCTTTATCAATTTACCCAGATTCTAGGAGCAACCAACTGGCAGCATCTTTTAAGAAGTTTTAGATACAGAATCACCAAATCGCAATTGGCGATTTATGTTAATCAAATGATTTTTGATTATTTTTGCTTTTGTAAAAATAGTTCACACCATGAGCTTTCAGTGCTCCCCAAGCTTCTAAGAGAGGTTTCAGTAACTGAAGAAGCTTCGGTAATTGTAGGACAGCAAACTGAAAAGCCTATTCTAGATACTTTAACAATTCATCCTTATACTTCTGTTGTTCTAGAACCTCTTCTGATACCAAAATCTGTATTAGTCAAGGTTCTCTAGAGGAACATATCTTACAGAATGAACACACACACACACACACACACACACACACACACACGAATTATAGGAGTAGCTTACAGGCCATGGTCCAGCTAGTCCAACAATGGCTGTCTACTTACAGAAAACCCAAGAATCCAGCAGCTGTTCAGTCCTCAAGGCTGGATGTCTCAGCCGGTCTTCAGTATTCACCAGAATCCTAAAGAAGTAGGCTCCAATGCCAGTGAAGGAATGGACTTGCCAGTGAGAGCCAGAGCAAGCAGGCAGAGAGCAGGCTTCCCTTTCCAATGTCCTTTATAATAGGCTGCCTTCAGAAGGTGAGGCCCAAAGTCAAGGTGGACCTCCCTACCTCAAAAGATCCAGATAAAAGGTGTATTTTTCCACCCCAAAGATCCAGACTAAAAATGGGTCCTCCCTCTTCAAAGAATTAACCCTCACAGGTGTGCTCGGCTGCTTGGGTTTTACCTAATTCCAGATGAAGTTGACAACCAAGAACAGCCATCACAAACAGTGTGCCACTAAGCCTGAACTTACCAGGACATGCTCTGTACCCAGTCCACATAGGCACCATTTATCTGAGCTACAGGAATAAGTGAGTTGTGTTTGGGCTTCATATGAACTAGCTTTGAGATGTCCAATCTAGTTTTACTCCTTATTTTTGCTTTTATTGGCCTCTGCTGTCATCTCCTCTGCACAGCTCATCAGTGATTCCCAGCCACAAATTGTTAAGAAAAACATTGATTCCATCTCGCTATTGAATTTGCTATGACTTTGTTTTGTAACTAGAGATCACTGCTCAGGATACCTAAGAGGTTCTAGCCCTTCTGTTATCATTCACTCCAGAGACAAATCACAGTTACTGTCCCCAAGAGTCAACAAAAGAATAAAGCCTTGGCCAGGCACTGTGGTACAAGTCTGTAATCCTGGCACATAGGAAGTAGCAGAGGTAAGAGGATCATCAGAAAGTTCAATGGCTACGGAAACAGTATATAATCTAAACCCTCAAAGAACAACTTCCTGTCAGAGTCAGTGCTGCAGACATGGTTCTGGCACCTGTAGCAACTTGAGGGGCTCCCTCCCCACTTAGGAACCTCTATTCAGAGAAAGTCAAATCGTCAGCAAGGTGAAGAAAAGAATTTCAGAACAAGCTGATATGAAGCAGAGCTGTGTCTTATTTAAAAAGTTTAAGAACAGAGGTTAATAAAGAGGTGCTCAGGGAAAAGCAAAGCACATCCAAATTATGAGTGGTGGGATTAAGGGAGAAGCATCCTTCACTTCTGTCTAACAGTCATACGTAGGATTTTGTTGATTTCCAGTTATATCTTGAAAGGGTTGTTAAGTGTAAATGTGGTAACAGGAAGACTCCTGAGGTACGCTGGACAGGATTACAACTGCAACACACTAGACCACAGGCGTGGGGGCAGGAATTTGGGGTATCTTCACTGTGAACAAAAGCTGTTTTGTGAGTGGGATTCCCAGAAAACATCCAGGAGAACATTAAGGGCATACTCAAAGCCATGCACACTCAGGCCTTAAATCTGGTTTATTGCTACCTTAACATTCTTTTAGGGCTTTTTTGATAAAGGGTCTCACTATGTAGGTAGGTTTGGCTAGCCTAGAACTTGATATGTAGACCAGGCTGGCCTCCGACTCAGAGATCAGCCTGTCTTGGGCATCTGAGTGCTAGAATTAAAGGTGTGCACCATCATGCCCAGCTTTTTAACTTCCTTTTTGGAAGATGTTTCTATTATAAAAGAAATATCGCCTATATGTTGGCAGCCTTCAGAGCAATTATTAGTGGTGACTGTCCTGGAACTCTTGATTTTCAGGTAGTAAGAGGCTACAACCACACTTTAGAGGGAACTCTCCCTTCTTTCTGCACAGTCTTATCTGTGTATCCTATCTTGTCCCCGATCATGCAGAGCAGTGAAGTAGCTCCAGGTACAACATGACCAGGACATGAGTTCTGCATCTCAGGCCTAATCTAGCAGGGACAGGATCTGAGAAACATCCATAAAGTCAGGCAGAGAAACAACACAGCACAAACACACAGTGAAGTGCAGAAAATCCAGTTCCTCTCACAGAGTACTTCCTTGAGCACCTCCTGGTCTACAACACTGGGCTCTGCAGGAGAAGATTTGGGTGCATAGGCCAGAGAATCAGCTCAGGAAGGAAAGTCATGGCTGGTAAACACCAAGCTAAGGAAGATTCAGGCTTCACAGAGGCACATGCAAGACACAGAGATGGAGAAGGGTCCTTACTATGAGAAGAGGGCAGCTGGGGACAAGCGAAGCATCCTTGGTGTAAAGACATTTAAATGTCTCCCAAGGACATAAGAGATAGACAGGGAGACCACAGGCAGTTAAGAGCTGCTGGTGGCCAATCCCACAAAGGTCTCAGAGAAGACCTCCAAGCTCTGCTAAGTGCTGGCAGATTCTTATCACTGTCAGAGAAAGAATTCAGAGAGGAGGAAAGAAAAGAGGACGATTTTATTACAGAACAAAAGTACACACAGCAGGCAGTGAGGACTCCAACCCTTATGCACAGGCCCTTCTTGGTGGTCTTATTTTAAACTATTTTTGACTAGAGCCACTTGACAAGGAATATTTCATTTCTTTGTCATGGCAGAGTGCACAGCACAAGAACAAGCGTGATATTCATTTGCCGTGAGCATAAACATATCAAACTGTTACCTGAATCTGGAAGTTCTGTTACCAGCCACTTCTACCAAAAAAAAAAAACCAAAACAAAAAAGGAAATGGGTTTTGCTTACAGTTTACGTCAGAACTGGGGGAACATGAAGGTCGGGGGGATGGTCCTTTCTCCCCCACTTTTCCTATAGTAGTGTTACAATCCCCAGAAAAGAAGAAACAAAAGTCAGACAAGTATATATATGTATATGTAGACTTAGCTGTGGAATAACTCATCAGGGCAGGCGGTAGTGGCACACGCCTCTAATCCCAGCACTCGGGAGGCAGAGGCAGGCGGATCTCTGTGAGTTCGAAACCAGCCTGGTCTACAAGAGCTACTTCCAGTACAGGTTCCAAAGCTAGAGAAACCGTGTCTCGAAAATCCAAAGAAAAAGAAGTAACTTATCAGAACTATGAGCCATCGTTTCTGAAGGGAAGGTGTGGGGTATTCTAGTAGGCTCCAGGCTATTCTCACCCCCAACACAGGACTTCCTGGAGAGGCTGTAATTTTTCAGGGCTCATGTCACACTATGACACACACTGTATCCTTTACGAGCTGTGTTTCCATCTTTCACCCTTCTTGCTTTCCTGTAAGATCTCACTGGTCTCTTCCTGCTCCCTGGTCAGGCCCTTTGTGGATCAGGAATGGGAATGTAGGGATCTGCAGTGGAGATGAGGCTGGAAAGGTGTGTCAGGCTAAGATGAAGATGGTTTCAAAGCCTTCAATTAGGGCTATGGTCCTGTCTTACAGACCTGGGGAGCCCCAGCTAATGAGGGCACTGAAGGCACTACCAAGTCATGCAGGTATTCTGTAAATTCAGGAGGAACCACGACTACCAAAACGTGCAAAAGCACTAACTGGAGCAGTAAGTGAGCTCAGAAGGTGACACCTTACATCTACACATGGTATGACTATCCCACCAACCATGGCCCAAGACCAGCAAAAGTGTGTTGTGTCCCATATGCTATGTCACCTCTGCCGTATGATCGAAACCAACAGGCATTTAAAAGAACAGTTTGCCAAAACAATGGATAAGTACGAAATATCCTTTCCTTGAAAAAAAAAAGGAAGGAAGAAAAGAAGTAAAAAAAAAAAAACCAATATAAGCAAATTAGCTAAACAGGGTTCTATTTACTTCCAGGTGGTCTTAAGAGCAGATGCATTTAGGTGCAGCTGCATTACCATCATGGACATAACAGTTAAGTTCTGAAAATTCAGTCTGCTGACTGAAAACTCCTAGATTCATACATCTTAATCCTCATTTTAGATTCTCAGAATGTCACACATCATACATGCTAGAAAAGGGCTCTGGGAGAAGAACCTGTCAGTTCCAGAAAAGAATTTCCTCCCATTTTACCTGCAGCACCACATCCAAAATAGCATTGAAAACGAGCAACCTACAGCTACACTGCAAAGAACAGGGACTCAGCTCGTAAGCTACCCCAGACTGCCCCAACACTGCACAGTCACCTCAGATACAGCAT